TTTAAAAAAGTTTACAATATAAAAAAGTGAAAACCCAGAATTATTTTTATAAAAATCCTGCCTGTATTTCAATACAAGCCTCATGTGTGCATTTCAATATTTATTTTGTAATAAATAGACTTAATATGAAATTTTCATCTCTAATTCTTGTTAATAATCAATCGGCAATTGAAGAGGCTTGGGTCACTTTATTGGTATTGATCATTGGATGAGAAGAAAATATAATATGGGAACCTACAATAACTAATGATGTTTGCTAATTATTAAGTAAAAAATTATGTTAAAATTTGTTTACCTATTGAAAATCTTATTCTTAATAATAATATCTAAAGTATTTTTCTAAAATTTTATATTATAGTTTTTTTATTATTTGTTACTGCGGCTAACTCAATATTTCATCCAGAAAAATATTATGCAAGCCTGAAGATTTTTCTCATAGAAGGAACACAGGTCTAGGCATATATTATCCTCGAGACTTAGGCAATATTTTTCTGAATAAATATCGAGTTAACCGTTTTTAAAAATCAGCTCAAAACGAGCCGTTTAACAACACTAGTTTAATAGCATAGGGTAGAGGGGAAAATAATATAATGGTTATCTAATAGTTTTGGTTTCCGCAGAATAGAAGGAATTTAAGTATACCTAAAAATCCGGGGTTTTTCTTTTTTCCCTCCTATCTTTCATGTTTACGTTTATTTGTTCTAAATCATGGGTAATGTGTCGATACCTTCTAACCTAAGCAGAAAATGTTGTTTTGATATTGTGTGACCCAGTTTCCAGAGTTGGGCAGGTCCATCGAAAAAAGAATCCAGATAAAGTTACTTTATAAAAAAATGGACCTTAGATATAGACTAGTATCTTATTCAAAATATTAAAATGATACGAGATAATAAATACTTGTATCTTTTTCCAAATGAGAGTATCATAAATACGAGATACTATAAAATTATCATTACCAATTTAAAATAGTTTATAAAATACAATTTTTATTATTTATTGGTGAAGAACATAACATAAACATATAATAAGAATCAGTGGCGTAGCCAGGATTTTATCATGGGGGGGGTGGGGGGGTTAAAAATATTTTGGGGGGGCTTCGCCAACCTCCCATTTTTTTGAACACTTAATTGCTTATATTTTTGGATTTGTTAAAATTGTTTTATATTTTCATATAACAAAATTTTAGGGTATTTTATTATATATTTTACATTTTATTTAATCATATATATATTTTTATTAATTAAAATATTTTCAAAATGTTGATATTTTATATAATACAGATTTTAATATTAAAAATTATAATGTATAAAGACTCTATTTAAAAAAAAGTAATTTTTTACTATATAAAATATGTGTAATTCTTATGCAAATAATGGTATTTAAAAAAATATGGTGATATTATCTTATAAATAATACTTTATTTAAAAAAAAATTGATTATATATTAAAACTAATAAAATTTTATTGCTATTTTTTGATTTGAATTTAAAAAGAGAGATCTTCTTTTCTCTGAGATTTTGATAATTTATCTAGAATCAAATTTTTATCTAAAATAATCTCCTTATAAATATTCAATAGGGCTAATCAAAAATTTTTTTTTTCATTTTTCATGGGGAGGAAGGGGGGTTGAACCCCCAAACCACCTTCCCACCACTACGCCACTGATAAGAATGAATATTTACAACAATTAATAGAATATTTAATGACGAGTTAATTATAATAGTCAAGCTATTTATTATTCATTTTAGCGCATTCATAGCATAGTCAGGGAAGGAAGACATAATTTTAAAGGTGATTTGAAATATTAACAAAAGATTATTTCAAATAGATTAAATTATATCATTATTTTTTAAGATAATCAATTTTAAAAATAATTTTTAAGCCTTTGCCGTTTCGGTATATATTGTGCCAAAACTAGATAACCTTTCAACTGGATCTAATTAAGATATTGCATTATTATATTTTAAAAAAAAATTTCTAATGGAAGGATAATAAGTAAGCATTTCTATTGTATTTGGACGGTCTTTATAATAATTTAAAACCTCCAGCTCATTGTTATTTTATTGAACTTAGCAACATTTGTTAAAAGAAAAATGATCAACATTTTCTATATTATATATTAAATCTTGGTGTTATAGTTTGAACTGATTATATACTACTGGCACTACATTTAGAGTTTATCTAAGCCCCTTATAACCATAAATAAAATGGGCACTAATTCTTTACTATGCTCTTGTAGTTTGTCTTAAAAATATTCATCAATATAAACATATTCGATTCTTTAATAATATGACAATCAATTGTTTCAAATAATAAATTAAAATGTGAATTATATTATAACAGTGAAATCATACTATTATATAGGCTATTTCACCTGATTTTGATGGAAATTTTAGCTTATTACCACCTGTTATCTCCTTTATCTTTTTAGAAGATTTGGGCCTTCCACTATCATTTTTTTGTGTAATTATTGGTTTTATTTTATTAATGGCATTAAATGAAGCTAATATAATGGGTTAAAATTTTTTTATATTGTGGTAGAGTTTGCTTTATATTAGGTATAAATACCTAAATGGTATTCCTAATTAAAAAAAATAAATTATATTATAACTTAAGATTATCATATAAATAATATACTTTTATATGTTTAAGAAAATTTGTAGAGGAGTATGTTGAACCCTTTATTATTTTTTTGTATTTACAAGTTTGACATTCAGCTTATACATTTTGACTTGAATTATTTAAAAAAATTTACATCTAAAGTTTTAAGAATGGGATTTGATTCAGGGGAACTTATTTCCATAATTTTCTTTTAACTAAAAAAATTTACAACTAAAATTTTAAGATTGGGTTTTGATTCAGGAGAACTTATTCATAATTTTCTTTTAACTACCTTCTTCACTACCATGAGTTTAAATCATCCTACAAATTAAAAAAATATTACATTGGTAATTATATTCTTTCGAGTTACATTTAATTTTTATATAAAATATATTCTTTACTTATTTCGTTATGATGTTAATTTTTTTGTCTATCTATCTTAATGAGGTAAATTTTTCAGCTAATTTTGGTTGTCAAAAAAAATAAGGTTATGATCTGTGATATGTAAATTTTTTAAACATGAATATTAAAAAGAATCTGTATATTTTGTTAAAGAAAATACAAAAGATACAAGATTCTTTTCAGAATAAAGGATCTTAGATACAGATACTAGTATTTTATTAAAAATGTTAGAAAGGTACTGAGTACAATATATAAAAGGATTTTGATTCTTTTATCATACATGTATTCGCGGTACTGCCCAACTCTACGAGTTTCTATAATCGGAGATCCTATTATATAATTTATTTCGTTATCATAATTATTAAGTTTTTTATATATTAATTTCACTATTATTATATATTATTACATATGGTTTAAACTTTTTTGGATAATGATATTTGATCAGGGTTGTGCAGTAACGCAAATACTCGTGTATAAAATAAAAAAATTATAAAAGTTTATATGAACAATGTATTTTTAACATTCGTATAAAGTTTGTATAAAAAATAATAAATGATGAATATGGTATTTTTAACAAGTTGGTATAAATGTATGAAAATTTCACTGCATGTAAAAAAATTTAAGTGGATATTATAATTAAAAATATTATAAAACTTGTTATTGTCTTTCTTGTTACCATTTTGTAAGTGTGTAAATAATGTTTTCCCATTATTAATTAAACCCTTTTAATTAAAATGTTACTCCTTTCAGAAATTTTACAAAGAATAACTTAAATTATTTTATCTCTACTACCAATGGAAATAATTTTATAAATATAAAAGTCATTTTTTAGATAAGGAATTCAATTAAAAACCCCCTCATTTACAATGAATGCATTATTATAGCATTCTGAGCTTGTTGAAAATGTCTAAACCTTAGAAAGTTTTATTTGGACAATAATGTCTATAATTATTTGCAATATATAGATTTGGTCTATCATCAACAATATCATTGTACTATAATAATAGGTCTTTAATAAAGGTATTAATTTTTAATGCAATAAATTTTGTCCTATTTCATCCTCAAAATTTAATAGATAACCCCTTAAAAAATTTATCCTACCCCCATTAAAGGTACTAACCCCTACCTCCTCAAGAAAAAGGATGCAAACTGTTCCTACCCCCCCCCTCTCGTGTAGACACTGACCATGGGAGAAGCAAGATTGGGAAACACAGCCCAAATGAGTATACATTTGGATTATTAGCAAAAAAATATTCTTAATATATTTTTGCAAAAAGAGTTCCGGATATTGTTTTAAAATTAATATTAATTTATACCTTTTTCATTTTCATTTATAAAATAGTCATTTTAATGATAAGTAAAAAAAGTAAATGACTACCTTGAAGACTTCCTAGATCTGTCACTGTTGCTACTGTACTGAGAAGAGACACCTAAAATTGTCATGATATTGAATCACAAACTCCCACATCCTATGATTCATATGACATAATCGCACCCACCCCCTCTACCCCTTCTTGCAGAGGACACTACTTTCAGGGAAAGGATCTCGGAATATTTTTAATATGCAAGTAGAATGGGTTTGAAAAAGTAATGAAAATTTTATTTTAACCTTAAATTAGTATTTTATTAAGGAGAAAGGAAAGAAAACTCCTTATATATAATCTTAGTTTTTTAGAAAGAGTTTAAACAATTTTACTATATTAACTGCATTACTGTTTTATATTTTTACTATGTACCCATGATATCTAAAACCCGGAGTCTTGTATTGCAAATGAGTTTAAAATACAAAGTTACAGAGTTAGAATGAAATTACATAATGAATTTAAAATTTTATTTTAATTCATATGACATTTTAAATAATAAATATTATAATTTTTGGCAATTAAACCTGTTTTGTTCTTGTTGATTTTAATACAATATTTAAAAAAAATTAAAATATACATGATATTTTTACAATGACAATTTAAAAAATAGTATGCAAATAAGAGTAGATTGGTAACAAAAAATAGAAGTTGAAACAAATGTTAATTGGAAAAGCGTAAAAATTGTAATTTTTCCAATTATATCGAAATTTTTTTTAATGTATATGAATAGCCTAAAGTAAAGCAATATATAGTATATATCATTTAACATATATTAATTATTTTGATAAAATTATTAGGAAGCAAATGCCTCCCTACCCAAGTTTTGAAAGAATAAAATATACAAAAGTAAATAATAGTTTTGTTTGTACTTTAATAATTGTATTTGATCTAGAAAGAATTATTGCATTTATCAAAATCTTCTCTCGCACAAATTATTCCTGATTGTTTTCTTCCTAATAAGTTTTTTAAAGATATATTATGATACATAAAATTTTAATTAAGTTATAATGGAGAAGTTCCTCTGCGAAATTCAAAGAAATATGATTTATTTAAACCTAGTTATCATAAAAAGTCATATGGTATTATAAATATATCAAATATTTTGCATTATAATTATTTAAAGATTTAAATCATGGTGACTACAATGAAGATCTGAATATAGATGCAAGGCATGAGCATGCTAGATACAAAGAAAATATTAATGATAAATTTAATGGCCCTTTTAAAGGACGAAAGATTGCTCATACCCATGAAAATAATTTTCACAATGACAATCATCCATACTATCGATTTGGGAATAAAAATTTTTATAAACCAAGTGATAACTTGTACCAAAAAAACCCTAATGAAAATATAAATAAAAATGAAACCTTTCAGAATAAATCAGAAGAATATCTTTTAACAAACTATGGTAATATATCACACAATGTTGATGTTACATGTGGAAAAAAGTATTGGTTATGCAAATAAATTTACTATATCTATATAATAGCTTATACCAGTCAACTTTAAATAATAAAGATGATAGAGAACAATATCCTAAAAATTATAAAGATGAGGTACTTAAAACTGCCCAAAGGCAGGAAGAAACTCTTGAAAAGACAAACCAAGATTCATTTTATGATGGTAAAATATATTTTCCTAAATTTATCATTTTATATATTTAGTTGAAAAAACATATTCCAAAAATTATTCAAATGAAAGAAATAATTTTAATAAAAGGTATTATGGTAATAATAGTTCAAATGAACCAGAATGGTTTACAGAAGGTCCTTCAACACATTTAGAAAAAATTGAATTACAAGGTTTTGAGGAAATGCCTAATAAACCTACGAATATCCCTGATAAATCTATATCTAAATTATCTAATCCTTTACAAAATCTCCCAGATAAATCTAAGAGCGATGAATCAAATTTAAACCACCCAAAAAAATATAATAATGATCTCTATAAGAAGGAAACAAATGTTAAAATTGGTATGTATATAATAACTTTTTATGAATATTAACCCAATACTCAAGTGTAAAAATAATCAAATGCTCCAGTGGGGCTTAATAGGCCTCAATTTCAAATGAATATATCTCCATTTCTATTTATTATTTTGATATGATAGAATTAATTATAGACTATAAATATTTATTTTAATTTATTACACTAGATAAAAAAAATGCTGATTTATAATTTATGCCAAAATTTTATAAAAGAAAGAGTTTAAAAAAATTTACCATAAAGAAAATACAAAAAACTATTGGATATTTAAATTGACATTAAAATTGATATTTATTAATTTAAAAAAATTTCATTTAAATTAGGCTTATTTTGGATATATAATTGAAAATAAATTTAATGAAGCTAATTTGGAGATTTGATATTATATATTACAAGTAATATTAAATTAAACCATACTTAGAGTATTAAAGGGTTAAAAATAATTTAAATATATATTATTTTAACCTATAATAATTTTTATAGCAACATAAATTTACTTATATAATAGTAATTACTAGTCTCACCAACCAAAATTTCATCTGATATTTGCAGTTTTTTGCTTTAAAACATATGTTAATTTTATATTATATTTAGTTTATTATAGTTGGAGTATTTTACATGAATAGTTTTCAGACCATATTATTCCTAAATTTCACATTTTAGTTTTAAAAATACATTTTTTACAATTATAAATGTTTTTGTAATACAAAACAATTAATCACTATTTAAGGTTGAAAATTTCCCAAATATTTTTAAAGCTAACTAAGATACCCCCAAAACTTGTCTCCAAACTTGAACTTTTAAGTATCTTTCTATTAAAGAAAGTCTTATTTTGTGTTTTTTTGATGCTTTTAACATAGCCTAATATTAATATATTTAATTATAATATATGGCATAACCAGGGCTGTTAAACCCTCATTCTAAAAAATTAGTTTGGGTTCAGTGAAAAATCTCGAGTAGGGTTCGATGTCTAGAAAAATATATTTAGATTAAATGGATGCACTAAAATAATGCCCATTCCACCCACAAAAAGTGTTTTATAATATTAGAAATATAAAAAAATAATTATGTTTTAAATATTTAACGTTTTTTATTATATAAATATTTTGTTATTTTTTTTAATATATATTAATATTGTTCAATTGTTACAAAAAATTATTGAAAGATTCAGGGTTAGGGTTCAAAGACTTATGCATAATTATAGACTATGATTTTGGGCCAGGACAATCACTAATCGGAATAATTTGTGCGAGAGAAGATTTTTATAAATGCAATAATTCTTTTTACATCAAATACAAATTTTAAAATCCAAAATGGGTCTTGTATATCTTCACTAGAAAGAATAATTTTGTCATAGAATTTTAAATATATGGGCTCAGAGTAGCTATGCAAAATGAAATTATTATATTATGGATAGTTATTGCAGAATATAGGAATGAGTTAAAGGCATTATTAAGATCAATTTTAAGGAAAATTAGATTTGGATCTATTAGTGACATTTTGGCTGTGTGCGCTGCAGCCTCTGCTCCTTCTTGCCAAACCCCATTTGATTGGAAAGGGATGTTGATATTTCTGATTTTGAACTTCTGACTATGATTTTAGATTCAATAGGTTGTAATCATTTTATTCCCTATTCTACAATAATTTATCCAGAATATTTTGCATATCTATTCGAGCCCACACATTTATTTCAATGACAAAATTATTCTTTCTCGTCAAATATGCAACAAGGTGACCCATGGGTAGAGAACTGCAAAGTAATTTTTCGCAACCCGAGCCCAAATTTAAAAATTTTTTTGTCCGAGCACACATTTTTTAGTCCAACCCGACACGAGCTCGACCCGAATAAAATTTTACAATTTTTAATATTATAATAACCAAAAAATTTTTTAAGTGTATTTATTCAGTTCAGCCACCTTAAATAAAAGTTTATTTGACGGCCATAATCTATTCAAGATATATATTAAGTTGCATTTTATTAAATTTGTAAAAAATATTATAAAACATTTAAAAATTATAACGATTATATAATACAATAAGCATCATTTATGCGAATATAGATATGATATAAAAGTTAATAAATATATAAAAAATATAATGAACATATTATATTATATTGACCTCATCAATATCATTATCAAAATTATCATAAAGTGAATAATTATGATATATAAATAAAGAGGCGTCCAGTTTATCTGGCTTTAAACGAGTCCTTCTCTCCTCAAAGGCCCTACCAGCAGCTGAAAACGCCCTTTCACTGCTAGCCGACGAAGCAGGGATAGCCAGGAATTTAAGAGCTAAAATACTTAAATTTGGAAACTCATAATGGTTTGTTTTTCACCGTTTTAAAATATTATCGTCATCAATACATAATTTCGGATCTAGGTATTTTTTTCATTAATAATATTAAGATATATATTTACTTTATTATTTTTTAATAAATAATTTAATTATTAATTTAATAAACCTTTATTTACTACTCTATCGGTTGAGCACGAGTTAGATGGTGAGTTGTTTAAAGACTTTTGCTCAATCACATCTCTGTTGATTTTCTCTGCATTAATCAACGTGTTGATATTTGACACAAATCTTTATAATGTTCCCGGGATAACATTTTCATATCCCGAAATTTTGGGCACAAAAACGTCGAAATTTGGTGGAATAAATCTATTTTAAATTTATCCACCAATATTTCCCGGCATCTTAATAAAAGCTGGTTTAGCTGATAGTTTAAGCTAGGATTAGCTAAAAAACTCAATATTTTATGATAACATAAAATAACTATGTGAATAGTAGGTTTTAAATCACTCTCAAGTTCATCACTCGCAATTTTAAAAGGCGTCAGAAACTTGATCAGATCCCTCATCATTTCAAAATCAATATTTTCAAGTCTAATCGACTCTCCTCTGGAATTGAGGATTTCCAATATGTCATTAAATTGATTAAAGATCGATTCAATCATATTAACTTACTATTCCACCTAGTCTCAACACACATGTGGATAGTTTTATCGAGGTGATTAACTAATCTAAAATGTAATGATATATTTTAATAAAAAGTTAATTTAACATACCCACTCTGTTTCATATACGTTACTAAACTTTTACAGTCATTAAAACATTGATTTATCTCCGAACAAGATTCAATATTTTTGTTATCAAAAGTATTTCTCAATACTGTATTTAATATATGAGAAGCACAATTTAAACGCTTATGATTTTCAAAAGCTTTAATCATATTAGCTCCTTGGTCGGTAATAATTGGAATTTCCGATAAATAGGCCCTGCTGTATCCTGATACAAAGAATACATGGATTTTTATAAATATTTTTAATGAAATCAATACCTAACAAGGTAAAATTTCCTTTTTGATATTTTCCCCTTTCCTCTTCAAATTTGCATGTAAACAATACAATTTTATTTAGTTTCCAGGAATCATTTATAAAATGAATTGTTAGAGTTACATATGGATATTTTTTTATAATCATCAGTCCAAAGGTCTGTGGTGGCTATAAAAAATTATTAATAATTTAACCATATTTTCATAAATTTCTTACCAGCACATCGACCCTTTTTCATATATGAGTTTAATATAGGAAATAATTTATTGCGGATACCATCAGCAGTATACTAAATTTCTATAAATTGTCGTAGGATTTGGAATGATGCTTTTAACATCAATATTTCCATATATTGAACCAATTTTGGCAAAATATTGGCAACAATCAACAAAGCCTTCCCCATGAATTGTACCAAATGATCTCAAATCACGTCCACAAAACATAGTAAGCACCTTTGTGCACTCTTTTTTCAATTTGTACAACTTTTGAGTTTTTTCGGAGTACCAAAAAAACTATCAATTGTTAATTGTGTCTTTTTACTCTCTGCTGTTGTACTTGTATTTGTATATACACATTTATGTCTTTTAAGTTGATTTGTGCCTAAAATAATTTAATAAGATCATATTTTATGTATAAATATCTAACCTGTTATTATTGAATTATATACATAAATAAATTTGCATATAATACAAATGAAATAATTAAGCTTTTCTTTATTTTCATCATATATAAATGAAAATTTCTTCCATACATTGGATTTTCCATTAAGATTCTCCCTTACTTCATACTCTTTTGTCTTAATCTTTTCACCAATTCTTTTTAATTTTGCATCCATTGAGATAATTTTTTTAATATGGCTGTGTCTAAAATCTAAAAAAAATATTTAAAATGACTTTAATCAATTAGATTGAAATAAACAGAGTTGGGCAGTACTGCGAATACTTGTATCTAAGATACATGATACAAGATCCCTTTATATCTTGTACTCAGTATATTTTGACATTTTTAATAAGATACTAATATCTGTATCTAAGATCTTTAATTCTGAAAAGAATCTTGTATCTTTTTCATTTTCTTGACAAAAGATACAGATACAGATTCTTTTTAATATTCATGTTTTAAATTTTACATATCACAGTATACATCTTATTTTCTTTGAGAATCTTGTATTAATTTCCAAATTTTTTTCTGCCATATTTTAAAATATTGACAACCAAAATTAGCTGGAAAATTTACAACTCATATTAAGGTAGATAGATAAAAAAAATAATAATACCAAAACGAAATAAGTAAAGATTATATTTTATATATAAATGTAACTTAGAATATCATTACCAATTTTATATAATATTTTTTAATTTCTAGGATGATTAACATTTATGGTAGTGAAATTTAAATTATAAAAATAAGTTCCCCTGAATCAAATCCCAATCTTAAATTTTATATGGAAATTTTTTAAAACAAATGTTAAAAAAGACAATGTATAGGCTAGATAAATAATAAATAATGAATAAAACTGATCTTTATCTTTAGTACATAAAATATGTCTTATCTTGTAATTCACGGGAAACACACAATTTAGTGATAAAATAGTTGGTATCCGGTTGTTAGGTTTATAAAATAATAATTAATAATGACATGACATGT